GAAAAGATTTTAAGAGATCGCAGGAATCCACTTGATGGCTCAGGGGAATAGTAAGTGATATTTAGCTTGCTACTTATTGGCTTGTATGTATTTACATGCTTACTTTACAGATGTTTATCACATTATCGACTGAACAAAGGCGCATTTGCCATGGTGGTAAATTACATTTATTATGTTTTGTAAATCCTTTCAAAATGTCAGGTTCATGAACTAAATAGTTGTGGCATATTGTGCTCTATCTTATGTTTTCCCAATAGAAATAAAGATAAGATTAATATGTATTAATAAAATAAGTTAATATCATAACAATCTTCTTTCTTTGTTTCTGATAACAATACTAATAAAAATGGTTTCGATGACGCGCAAAAGCGATACAATTTCTTTTTCAAACAGCAAACCAATAAAAGCCCAATGTGATTTTTTTTGTTGTTCTTTTCACTTTAGATTTTTTTCAATTGTAAAATTACCAAAGTTATAGCCTTGGCAAGGATATACTTTTAATTGGAGCCACCAACACTGATGTATAGGGTTGCTGCATAAGCTTTTCCAGATGCATCAGAGAATCTGTGAAAATTTATGAGCGCTGATGTTGAAAAGGGGGTCCACCGAGAAATTTCAATAAGATTGAGGGCTTCGTAATCCTTTATGAAAGTTTATAATCGATAATACTTCTCTATTAGTAAACGAAATAGGGTTAATGAGAAAAAATAATACATTTTTTTGCATTAAGATTTTTGAAGACAAGACTTTTGGGTCGTTTGATGTCCATGAGGTCGTAAAGCAAATCCTGCGGACTCCAAAGATGAAGAGTTCATCTCGTGCAGTTGATACGTCATTCTCGAATGGAATGTTGGGTTCTACATAATTTACAATTCTCAATGTCTTGAGGTTTTTTTGAGATGCTGCTGCCTCTTACAGGTTTTCACTAGCGTGTGAACAACTCTAGGTAAAAGTTCCAGAGTCGTTCGCGTAAAAGGTATAAACTTTCCTGTCTTTTTCTTTTCTATGGGATCTACTGTCGGTTTGGGTAACTGGAACGGGGTCAGTTAGATTTCTTAGTGCTTTCAAAGATTTGTATCTGTGGGTGAGAAACACGTCGAAAGTTTTCCATGAAGGTATTTCAGAGTTGACTTCTAGGGTGTACTCAAGTTGATGAGGCAGGTTTTTGGGTAGTTTCAATCCATATAAGAAGATTAAGATTGGGTTCCAACTTCTGATGTCTATGTATACATTATTCAGATTTGTAAGACAATTGTTGACGGTCCTATGAAATCGTGAACCCTCTTGGGATATGTAGGGTTAGTTATTACATTTCTTTTTGGTTTTGTTGGTGTGTGCCTTATATGAACACAATATTTGATGTGCAAAGTTCTGACGAACGGAAAATTTCCTAATGCAATTTATATATTTGTATATGTACGTACATATGTATGAGTAGGTGACAAGAGCAAGACTACTTGGCTCTCCAAAAAATGGAGTATATACTCGTATTGTATGTACGTATGTATAATATACAATGTGCCGACGGAATATGGCAATAACTAATTCGCAAATACTTTGTACTTGATACCCGTTAAGCACTACATTTATTTTAATTATTATATATATTTTTTTGTTTGTTTTTTTCACTATGCCCATTTATTCCGACTTGCGCTGATAAAAACATTTTAGGTAAATTTGGGTCTATGCACTTCCAATATTTTTCACGTATGTATGCCTTACTGCCTTGATTTTTGTTGATCCAAAGGTCGTTGATTGGGTGGGTGAGTAATCCTGATGATCCAAACGGTGGTTAATTGGGTGGGTTCCATTTTATCCGGCACTGACCGGCTTGAATGACCAAAATGTCGGAGACTCGACATTAAACTTGCCTGTGTGCTAAATAAAATAAATATTAATAGATTTCAAAAATATTTCATATTGGTGTGTAGGGTATAAAATGATAATGCACAGTTTGTGTGACTTAATTTATACTATTGATTATATGGTATGTATGGGTTTGTTAGTGTTTGAACAATTAAATTTATGTGTGATTTATAAATATAAATATAAGTAACAACAACAAGCTAAGGTCTATTACGGCCTTACCTCTGTAACACAGACTTACATAGGCAGATCACTCTGATAAATTCCAGCATCCTACTGGGCGAGATTGATGCAATGTGATCCCTATTCGGATATATAGATCCAAGAGCCCTTATCCTGCTTCTACAGACTGCTGTGCATTCAACAATTAGGTGTCCGCAGTTTCTGGCTCCATGTCGCAAAATATAAAATCAAAAATAAAAAACGTTAACTTCGGTTGCTACTAAGCTATAATACCCGTTACAAATACAAAGGTTCCTTACTGGTTAAATGAGTTAAGCCTCCCTCAACACGTACACATCACTCTACCCGGAAAAAACTGTGGTTCGATACGAATTCGTTGCGTCACCGATCCTGTAACCTTCAACTGCCCTCATTTCGTTTGACATCGATTCCACACGGCTATCTTTATCCCAGTATTTAAATAAGTGTTAAGTATAGTATGTTTTGTAATGAAAAATAAAATATATCAGAAAGAAATCTGCTTTTCATTTCTAATATTAACCACGAGTGTAAGTGCCACATCAAAACTTTACTGTGGTATGCGCTTACCTATTTGTTCACTTACAAAAACTTGATTCCGAGCTTTTAATTTGTAGGGCAGCTATATGCTATAGTGATCTGATTCAGAGACTACATTGTTGCCTTAGACAATAACTTATTCGAATTTTGCGAAGATACATCGTCAAATGGAAAAGTTTTCCATACAAGCACTTTACTCCGATCGTTCAGTTAATACGGGAGGTTCCGACAAATGAGCAGCTTCTTAGTGAAAGGACCGGTGCAAAATTTCATATCGATAGCTTAAAAACTGAGGGCCTAGTATATACAGACAGACGGACATGGCTAAATCAACTCAGCTCATCATGCAGATCATTTATATATACATATAATATATTTTATAGGGTTTCCGACGTTTTCTTCTGGGTATTACATACTTCGTGGCAAACTTAATATACCCTGTTCAGGGTTTAAGTTGAAAATACATGCATGTTTACATTGAAAACATTTTTAAAGCTAAAACTTATTCTGTGCTGGTTATGTTATGGCTGTGCTGATTTGTACGGTAAATGCAAATTTATTGTACATATAAACCAGGACAAAACATATTTGTGCTTTGTCAGATCAGCCAGAAAAGAGGAAGGATACACTGTGGTAAATACTACTCTATTATATTTATCTATTTGAATAAAAGAAGAAGAAACAACTTATGAAGATATTTTGTAAACAACCAACAAATAGAAATTTACACTGTGATAACGGCCGCAGCGTAGCTAGATAAACAGCTCTAGAAGCTTATTTTGTAGAGTCTTAGGAATATCAATAAAGCGCACGCATTTCGGCGTAAGCACAAAAATATATCTTATAAATTTGGATAAAAAAATGTCATCTTGTCGACTAAAAGTTGCAAACCACACGGTTTTCTGGTATTTTTCGAAATACCATCATTCGTTCTTTCAAGACTCCAGTTTTGTCAATATTAAAACCTGAGGCCTTCACTTCTGGCTGATCCTATACACATTTTGCGTAGTTAATAACTAAGCTGCCTTCCCCTGAATCTTGCGGTGTTGATCGGATTTCACCATATGTTGAGAGCTAGTCGATGGACCGAGGAACGGTCGACAAATGCCAGCGTCCAAAAGAAACTGTTTTTTGATTTTAAGTTTTTCGGGCGGTAAGCGTTTAGGTATGGGGAAATCTGGTGGGTTAGGTGGCTATGTGATGGGTGATAAAGTGACGATTTGATTTTGCGGTGGCGAAGTTCTTAAGGGTTATGGCTTTGTATTCACTCAACTGCTCCCGAAATGATTGATTTCGGTTAATACTGACGGCAGAAAACGATTAACTTGGATTATATTTGCGATGCTTATTTCACCACTGGCTAAGTTATGCATTTCGCGAAGGACTTTTGTTGCAAAGTTTCTTTAGTCAAATAATTCCTTCGCAAATTTTGTTTGGAGAGAAATGTTGATGCATGGTGGATTATGGGGTTGTGTTGGCTTCTTCGAACAAAAAACGGCCTATTTTCAATACATATTTAAAAAATAAAAATGTTAAATATTTTATTAGAGCTTTCTACTATTCCACAGATACATATTTTACAAAAATTTTGGAAAGTGTGGCCATTACGACGTCATTTCTGGCACTCCCTCGGAAAAAACGTGCTCCGCGTTGACAGCAGAACTTACAGGATCATCTAAAGTAAAAAGAAAAAAATACGTGTTTTAATTAAGACCTTAAACTTGGTATTGGACGAAGGAAAAAAATAAAAATAGTATTTTTGGCAGAGGTTTTTACAAAAAACGCAAGTTTTGTCGAAAGTTTTCTTTTTTAAATAGTTGTAATTGAACAAAAAAATCCTTCGGTCAAGACCTTGTAAATTATATTAGCAATCCAAAATTAGCAAAAAACAGCCTCTAACATCACAGTCGCAAAATGACTGTAAACTAGTGAAATTAATTACTTTATATCCGGTTAGTGTACCAACATCATACATACTTATTGAGGAATCCCCTTTTGGTAAGAGTAATGAGCCTACTTCCTATCAGTCAGTTATCGATAAGGGTGGTTTCTATTTATGTTATTTTAGCTTCTTCACAACAACAAGGTGCTTCACAGAACATAAATATTTCGTAAGATATTTGGTAAGCTATATTTATGTCGATTTTATTTTTTTAATTATAAATTTCATATAACATATTACATATGTTAAATTAAGGCTTTATAGGCAGTCAGTTGTCAGTCAGTTTGATAATCTAATGACATTACATTATGTAAGAAGTATATACATAAATATATATTTACCGTTTTGCTTTAAATTTTTACAGGTAAACATAAAAAAAGAGGCTTTCTAGAAAGAGAACTTTACTAATAAAAATGGCTAAATTCAAATTTGACATCAACTGTATTTTTAGTCAACCCGTTGTAAAAATATCATCCAATTTGTTACCTCACACATTTCTAGGTGATAGAAGAATGGCCATGTAAGTAGAATTATGTAAAACAAGATGTATACACAATCTTAATAAATTTAAATAATTTTATAACCATATTTATATTTATTGCAACAAGCGTGAGTATAGAAGTCGCTGAGAAACCACAATATACATTACGCATGGCTACTGAGTGTCGACTAATGAGTAGCGAAAGTAATTTTTGTTGTTGTTTTTGTTCGTTTGGTTTTGGAGTCTATGTACGTTAAAGATATCCAATTATATATATTTATTATCTTGCTTTTTTGTTTTATTTATTTGACAATTTAATTACTTAAAAAATTAACATTACAGATTCATTTATTGACAGCTTCTTTTACTTCTTGGAGTATTTCAACAATATATTTTTTCTAGTATTCAAGCCCCCTGCGTAACAATTAGTGTCGACAAGTTAAGTTCTGGTACTTTAAAAGCTTATTAAATTTTTAGAAAATCAACTGCTGAGAAATTGTTTTACTGCCTGTAATAATTTTTGCAAATTGGCATTCATTATATGATTCATATTATTCATCGGCCATTGAAACCCAGGATATTTTCTTTTTATAATATTATATTAGTCATTGTAAGTTCATACATACTTAAGTATTCGAGTTGTATACCCGAAACGAAAAGTAGAATTCAATTTATGAATAATAGAGAGAAAAAGATAAAAGAAATAGAAAAATTTGACAAGTGTTTGGTCGCCACTTCTCTTCAACATCTACTAATAACTTTCAAATATATCCTATATATATATTTGAGTCTATTACTAATTTGTTGAAGTCGCAAATTTCAATTTCAACTAATGCGTTCAAATAACGTTCCTTTATTATTTGTTAGGCATGCTAAGCTTTTAAAATGTTGTTCCTCGGTATACTGCTCCTTATGTACAGGTCCATGAGCATCTCCAACAATTTCAATATAAACGATGGAACTGAATCTTTTAGCAATGCCATGAGAGTTTTTTTCGGCCTTCGGGATAAACTTTCCGCGAACATAGTTGAAGCTACCCACATCCGTAATTCGTGGTCACCCACATCTCATTCATATATAAGTTTAGCGATTTCACAAAGCGTTGGTTCCGCTCCTGTACTTGGCTTCTTACGGAAGAAGTATACCTCCCTTATGCTATAAGGTAACTTATTAACTCATAATATATGGACTCACTTAGTTTTAATACAACGTTTTGTGTTTTATCCGAAATATTTAAACTTAAGTCAACATATTAGTGCCTTGGAAATCTACACACCGATCGCACTAAAACAAGTATTTACTACCCTTTAATGTTAAAGAAAGTAGGCATTTTTGATGAGAGATGCTACGCCAAGAATGTACGTTTTCTGCAAAGTTTTATTCTGATATCTATATTGGTGCTTGATTTATATATTGTTAAGTGAATGTATCTGATGTATGTAATATTGTGTGATGTGGGAGGTAGAATAGGAAGCCATCCTTGCTATGATCCTCTGTATCAGAGTTAAGTTTTGCAATTTCAATAGATTTTCCCATCTGGAATCTACCAACTTCCTCAAATTGGCATGAACTATATATATATTTCGATTAGTTGATGTTTTGCAAACAACCATAAGGTGAATTATATATACTCCGTGCAAGCAAATAATTTAACATATATTTTCACTTTCTTCTAATTATAGGGAGGTTAGTTCAAAGGTGTCTCAAATTATAGATCGGTTAGGTGAACTTTCAGCCGTAGCTCAGAAACTGTCGAAACCTATTACATCAGCCCAAAAGCTTCGAATGTCTGAAAATCAAAGAGTCTATCTTATGGCAGATATCAATGGATGTGACGGGTGAGTAAGTTTTAATTTTATTGAATATTCAATTGTGATTCACTGCAGTAATATTGTGGGACAGGTATGAATTATATAATATAATGCTACTGGTTCTGGCAGTACAGTCATAAATGAAATGCACGAAAAAATAAATGTGATATAAATATGCAAATGAAAAGGAAAATGGTTGAAAGAATCTGGCGGTAAAAAGTATTAATTTATTTATGGTAATTAAAAGCAGTAAATTAGTATAGTAGTAATGGATCAAAGCCAGGGAAATACTTTCAAGTGTACTTCGTAAAGAATTCAACATTCATTATTCGACGAAATCGTGAAAGGATAACAATCAAATTTGATATCTTATTAATTTATATTGAAGGGCATGTACACACTTAGTTTTATTAATATATCTTAATCGCTTCAACAAAAATTATATAAAAATCATCCTTAAATTAGAATTACGTGATATAAACTCAAGACGCTAAATTTAATATATTGAGTTGGTGTGGAAAACGTCTACCAGAGGATCGCAATTCTTTATATTAGGAATGTAAGGTTCAGACCAATTCCATACATATTATGTGGTACACCATAAAGCTTTCAAGGAAACCTAACCAACCTAAACGGTTTATATTCAGTCGGAAATCATTATGCATATATGCTATGTTGGGGGCAGAGAAAGGGACGGGCTGATTGCAATAATGAATTTGCTCAGGTTTACTTGAGAACATATTTTCAAGCAATTGTATAAATATATAACTCACACACAGAACAACATATTCGTCAGAAGGCTTGTAAGGTATGTAGTATATGGCAGTAGGGGCAATTCGTATATATGGATAAGGCCAACCGGAAGTTTGAAAATTGTATATTATTGTATGTATTGACCCAGGTTTATCAATTTTTGGCAATACCACATACTATTAACATGCTACATATGCCCTGAATTTTATTAAGGTACCATCACAAATAAAGGGTTTTCCAATAAGAGTGATATGAATAAAAAAACACTAATTGTTAAGGAAATTCAAATGTTTTTTATTTACTGTGAAGTACAATCGAAGCAATTAAGTTCTGAATATAACATCATTCAAATGGCCTTCACGATCTTTTGCAGGAACGATTTCGATGAATTCAATTTCCGAGTACCTTTTCCACTAAATCTAGTCGTATGTCATGAATAGCTTGTTCAATATTGATTTCTGAAGCTTCAAGAGAGTCTGGTTTATTGCAAAAGACTAATGACTTCAAATAACCCCACAAGAAGTAGCCTAATGGTGTTAAATCGCAACTTTTTGGAGGCCATTCATTGTCAGAATTTTTTTGAAATTATCGACTTTCCAAACTTTTCTCGCAATATTTCGGTGGTTGCACGTGCTGTGTGGCACCTAGCCCCGTCTTGTTGGAACCAGATGTAGTCAAGATCAACTGCGGCCATAAAAAGTTGGTTATCATCAATCTATACCGCTCTCCATTGACAGTCACGGTGTCACCAGCTTCATTTCGAAAGAAGTACAGACCGATGATTCCACCAGACCAAAAACCACACCAATCTGTCAATTTGTGAATGTAATGGTTGTTCATGAATAGTTTGTGGATTTTCTTCGCACCAGAACCGATAGTTTTGTTCATTTTCCGCATTACTCAGATGAAAGTGAGCCTCATCGAAGAAGACGATTTTTTTTTAAACTTCGGGTTTAAAATTTAATATCTCTGGGGGTATTTATTTATCGCGCTTTTAGTAGTATTCAACAGAACCGTTATATGGGGAGGCGAGGTTATAATACGATTTCATCCATCTATACAATGTCGGTAGGAGTTTTGCCAAGGAATATGTGTACCAAGACAAACATCCGTATTTCAACTCGTCTCGTCATCGTGGTCATTTATATACCATATATATATAACTCCATATCTACCTCGATTAGTTTAAGGTGATACAAACAACCGTTAAGTGAACAAAACTATTATACTCTGTAGCAACATGTTGAAAGACATTTTGCGAATAATTCAACATTCATTATTCGACGAAATCGTGCATGAATTACAATACAATCCAATTTGGTACTTTATTAAGTTATATTATAGGTAGGTCATAGAGACTAAATTTAATATATTGAGTTGATATGCAAAACGTCAACCAGAAGATCGGAATTGATGATATTAGAGATATGAGATTAACACCAAGGTCTACATCAACTTTATATCATGTTCAGCACTAAAACATCAATATAATAAGGTTTGTTAGAATAACAGAAATTTTTATATATATGTATTATAATCCTATTTCTCATATTTTCGGAATTAAACTAAAGTATTTCGAATATTATGTTCAATTAATTTTGCCAAGATATCTAACACATTGACTGATATTTTGCAATAGTTCTACTTGAAAATTGAAGATAACGGTATTTTAGGAAATTATTTTTTTGTTTGTCAATAAGTTGTTATTTTACCGTTATAAATCACGCATTACTGAAAATTTTGTGGTCGGTTTCAAAGAAGTATGCTTTTATTTTATAAAGGCTTTTGATTCAGACTGGCATTTTAATTAGCACACCGTGCCATCAGAAAAGTTTTTCGTAATTCGTTTCCGCTTTAGGTTATAATTTTTCTCTGAGATTATTTGTAAATAAAATTTTAAGTAGACAGCTTGAAATATTAAAAATGGGATGGGAATCGTTCCAAGAGCTCCAGTGAAGACGAAAGGCGCCTAATATGGAACATGTTCCAGGACTGGAAAATATTATTGAAATTGCTCGTTGTATTAGAAGTTCACTCATTTTCGGCAGGCGCTTAAAGATCCTTTTGTAACTTCTTCGCAAATACGAGCTACAATGCAGGAGGAATATGGCGTAAATATTGCCAGCAGGACTGTTACACTGCGGCTTTTGTGAAACAACCTTCGGGGATGCGAAAGTTTAAAAAAGCAAAAAGTTTCACACAATAATCGAAAGGCGCGATTGGAACTAATGAGACTGCATAGGGATTCTCCTTTTTTCTTATGGAATTCTGTAGTTTGGAGCGACAAATCTAAATTCAACTTACACGGGCCTGATGGGAGAACTTATGCGCGACGCCCCCCAAATAAGAAATTGGTCCAGGAAGACCGTTAAGTTCGGTGGGGGAAGTGTTATGGTGTGAGGTTGCTTCATGAAGCATGGTATTGGTCCTATTGTGCAGATAATGAGAAAGCTAGATTCTGTAGCATACCAGAAGTTGCTTAAAAGTTGCAGGACTATGCGCCCTGCCATAAGTCGAGGTCTGTATTCAATGGCTTCAAAACCAAGCAATTCCATTGCTGAATTGGCCTGCCAGAGTCCAGAACTCAATCCAATTGAAAATCTGTGGGTAATAATAAAAAGGCGAGTCATGGCACTGAAACCGAAGATAGTGCACGATTTATGGGCAGTTATTCAACAAGATTGTCTGAAAATTCCCAATGACATCTGCGCGGATTTGGTGTCATCTATGCCGAGAATCATCCGTAATTTCCCAAAATGGACACTCAACTAAATATTGAGTAAATAAAAACTCATAAGTTTTTTTTCAAATTACTCACTCAATTTTCAAAAATCATCAAACCGCAGGTGCCCCTTATTATTGCAGTTACAATTTTGTATCTTCATTTGTGGCTTAGTAATGGCAATTTATATGATTTCGATTAATAGCGTTTTGTGGGCATGGCAGTTGTCCGATTACGCCCATCTCGTACTCCCGATTCGACCAAGGAACACGTTTACAAAGTTTCATGACGATATCTCAATTTTTATTCAAGTTAGAGCTTGCATAGACAGACAGACGGACCGACAGAGAGGCATTCTGAATACAACTCGTCTTGTCATCCTGATTATTTATATATATGTATGTACATATATAACCTCATATCCATCTCTATTAGTTTTGCGTGATACAAACAACCTTTAGATGAGCGAAAGTATTGCCTCCGCTCACCAATCCGTGGAATGTGTTTCAATAAAAATATCAATAAAATATATGCGTTTTTGAAGCTCTTTTCAGAATATCAGATGCGCAAGCTAATAGCATTACAGTCGCCAAATTTCATGGAATTCTTATGTTCGTTTGCAAAATTAACGGCATTTTTTGAATTCTACTAATGGAGAATAAGCAGAAAAAGTATCCGCTCACTGCATATTACATTAGTTTATTGTAGTTTCTACGCATTTAAGACCTGATAATTTTTTGTGCATTATTGTCAATAATACAGATTTAGATAATTGAAGGCAAAATCTGCAATTTGTGAGTAAATTTTTCGAATTATTCAGCTTTAATCGAAATGAATGCAAAAGGCAAAGAAAAAAGTGTTGACGAGCGGAAAATAATACTAAAATTAAGTGATGACGGTAAAAGCTTTCGTGAAATTTTACGAGTTGTCAACAGAACGAAGTGCTCAGTGCCATATGTCATCCAGACTTTCAAAAAAACGGGAATTATTACTTCAAAGCCTCGATCTGGACGTCCGACTGATCGAAAAACACGCAAAGTTGTATCTCTTGTAAAGGTTAATCTGCGTTTAACCGCTTCCAAAATATTAAAAAGGGTTGGATATCATGGGCGAGTGGCATGCAAAAATGCGTTCATTCCCTTAAAAAACCGTTTAAAGCGCATTGTAAACGAAGATATAACCAAGCCTATATATTTCTGGGAATCAATTTTATGGTCGGATAAGTCCAAATATAGTATATTTGGAAAAAGGAAAGCAGATGGTGTGGCGAAAAACTGGTACGGCCTTTGAAGCGCGAAATCTTACTTCAACCGTAAAGCATGGTGGAGTTCAATTGAGGTAGTGTATGGCAGCAAGTGGAGTTGGTGGCATTGAGTTTATCGAAAATATAATGAATAAATTTAGTTATCTAAATATTTTAAAACGGCAAATGAAGCAAAGTGCTGACAAATTAGGATTGCCAAACGTGTTTTGTTTCCACAGGACAATGACCCTAAGCATATAGCGGAACTTGTTCGCCTTTGGTTTCTTTACAATGCTAAAAAACAGCTAC